GGTGCATGCAGTGATGGGGTGCTGGTGGATGACACGGAGCCCTTGGTCACAGTGATGAAGGTAGAAAAGGACCCGCAGGAGTCCTATGCTGATATTGTGGGGTTGGACAACCAAATCCAGATTAAGGACTTGTGGAGCTTCCTCTCACCCATCCTGAATATTATGAAGAGATGGTATAAAGCCCCCTAAGGAGGTCATTCTCTATGGTCCACTGGCACAGGTAAAATTTTGTTGGCCAAAGCAGTTGCAAACCAAACTTCTGCTACTTTCTTGAGAGTTGTTGGCTCTGAAATTCAGTACCTGGATGATGGGCCCGAACTTGTATGGGAGCTGTTTCGAGTTGCTGAAGAACATGCACCATCCATTGTGTTTATTGATGAAACTGATGCCATTGGGACAGAAAGACAGGACTCAAATTCCGGTGGTGAGGAGAAATTCAGCGAACAATGTTGGAACTGTTGAACCAGCTGGATGGATTGGATTCAAGGGGAGATGTGAAAGTTATTTTGGCCACAAATCCAACAGAGACTTTGGATCCAGTGCTTATTAGACCAGGCTGCAGTGACAGGAAGACTGAGTTCCCCCTGCCTGATGAAAAGATTCACACAAGCAGGACGACGCTGGCCAATGACATAACCCTGGAACGACCTGATCATGGCTAACGATGACCTGTCCGGTGCCGACACCAAGGCAATTTGTCCAGAAGCTGTTCTGATGGCCTTGAGAGAATGCAGAATGAAAACAAAGCAAGACTTCAAAAAAATCTAAGGAAAATGTCCTTTATAAACAAACAAGGCACACCTGAGGGGCTTTATCTCTAGTGAACCTCCATCACCTTCAGGAAAGTGGTTGGAGCAATGTTGGGAAAGTGCCCAGGGGGATCCATGTTCCGACTGATTTTTACTACAAACCTCCTGTGTGTCTGCTGGAGTGTGACGTGGAGGACGCCCACTGGGCTGCCTTTGTCTGCCGGTCACCGGCCAGTGCAGCACTCTGCTTCCCAATAAAGCGTGCTCGCTCACGGGAAGAAAAAAAACCTTCTCTGGAATTTCCAGATGACCAATACCTTGACTTTAGACTTTTCTGCTTCCCCAGAAATATGCGTATACCTCAGGGGTCCACAGATCCCAGAACTCAGACCTGAGATAACATTTCTAAACTACCCACCTCGTGGTGCTCTGTTTCAGCAACCCCAGGGAATCACTACCACACACCTCAGTGAGGGCCTCACTGGCAAGGCTTCAATCTTGCCTTAGAGCAGCAGTCCCCACTCTTTTAGGCACCAGGGACCAGGTTTCATGAAAGATAATTATTTCTACAGATAGAGGGTGGCTTCAGGATGATTCGAATACATTACACCGACAGTACACTTTATTTCTATTATTACACTGTGATACATAATGAAATAATTACGAGTTACCATAATTATAATACCATAGTCACTCCCCAGGGCTAGCATCAGCTCCACCTCGGGTATCAGGCATTAGAACCTCATTAGGACCACTCAACCCTCACGCACAGTTCATAACAAGGTTCAAGCTCCTGTAAGAATCTACTGCTGCTGTTGATCTGACAGGAGGCAGAGCTGAGGCCAGAACAAGTGTGATGGGGAGCAGCTGTAAATGCACATGCTTCGTTTGCTTGCCTACTACTCCCTTCCTGCTGTACGGTCCAGGTCCTAACAGGCCAAGAGGTTGACGACCTCTACCTGAGGGCAACGGAGTGCAAGGAATGCTCTGATGAACAGTGCAAACCCACAGGCCTGGTTCTCGTCTACTGATGGACCACGTTCACTTACTTCTGTGCTTCCTGCCCTTCACAAGGACATCTTTGCTCTTCTGTTTGGGACTCCCTTTATTCTCTGAATCTACGGTATGTTGCTCACATTTCTCCCATTAGCGTCCTCTCTTCCCATCCTAACAAAGCATAATTACGTATATTTTAGAGACAATAGTTCCACTTTAGAGTAGTGGCCTTTAATCTTTTCAGCCTTGCCAGAAACATGCATACACCTCAGAGGTCCGCAGACCCCAGGTAAAAGGCCACTGCCTGTTTCAAGTTCAGACATCCCTCAGGGTAATACCAATCTCTCCTCCTTACTCCAACTGTACCCCGACTCTATCTCAGCTTGCTTCTACAGTCCTTCACTGAGCAACCCATTGGCTCAGGGATGGATCTGCAAGCCCAAGCCACCTTCGAGGGTCCCATTAGGAAAATACAATGTCAGGGTCAGCAGGTGGCATGGTGGTTAGAGGCACTGGATTCCCACATGGCCGACTGTGTTTTGAGTCCTGGACCTGGTAACTTGCTTTTTCACTTTCCCTCTCTCACTTTCTGTCTCCCTCTGGTCAAATTAAAAATAACAATAATAATAATAATTAATAAATAAAGTTAAATAAGAAAGTTCTTAAAAAAATAAAAAAAGGAAAAGACAATGTCACTGCAGAATCAGCCTGAGGTGGCAGGCATAACTCCCCAGTCACAACTACGGCTCCACTCAGCTATCTGCCTCTCTTTTTCTTCTTATTGCTTCCTGACTCCTTTAATTTATCCTTTACTCAAATGAAACATGAGCACCAATAAAATACAGACCAAGGGCCAGCCAGTGCCACAGTGGTTAGGCAGCTAGGTCCCACATTGTTGACTGTGCAGTTCAAGTTTTGGACCTGGCAGCTTGAGAAACAATCCAGGCACGTGTGCATGCGTGCCCAGGATCCTGAGATGTGAATGGAGGAGAAGGGACTATGACATGGCCTTCCCCCTAGGGGAACTATTTCTCACTTGCCCTCTTTCTCTCTCGCTCTGTCTCACTGACCAACACAAGTGCCCTATGACAAAACTGGAAGAAAAAGATAAGCAGAGCAAACTAAATGAAGAAAGCAAAGCACCTTTTTTCAATTAATTAAAAATATCTTACCCAGGGGCCAACAGGTGGCATGGTGGCTAAGCACACTGGACTCCCATGTGGCCAACCGCGGTTCGAGTCCCAGATCTGGCAGCTTACTTCCTCTCCCCACCCACCCCAATCAAATTAAAAATAAATAATTTAACTGATTAATTACAAGAACAAATTCTTACCCATCGGCACCCCTTTTGGGATACATCTGTATTAGAAAGCACCCTACCCCCATACTGACGAAGATCTTCTCACAGTCACACACTGTATAACATTTAAGTAAACACCGAACCACACATATGGAGGTGGTCCCATAAGGTGATAGGACGTAGCCGAGATGTGTAGTAGACTATACCACCAGGTTTGTGTGAGTACACTTCGTGATGTTCGCATGGAATCACCCAACATTCTCAGAACGCATCCCCTTGTTGAGCAATGCACGACTGTTCACGACCATCTCACTACAGTAAGATGGACGGCAGTGATAAAACGTGGTGCTCTGCAAGGCTGACCCACGTGGGAAGCTTCTGGGATAGTGTCTGTACACCTCCCTAAGTACACTGGCACACACACGCCCAGCATCCAGGGTTGGCTCAAGCATCAAGACCCTGTTGGAAGTGCTATCTCTCTCGCTCATAGAAGAAATAAGTTTTTTCTTTTTTGGAAAAAAGATCTGGGCCAGCAGGTGGCGTGGTGGCTAAGGCAGATGGATCCCACATGGCCGAATGCATACTTCAAATCCCAGTGGCTTGAAAAAGATGCTGGGCACATATGCATGCATGCCCAAAATCCCAAGAGAATGGAGGAGAAGGGACTGCAGTGTGGCTCTCTTCCGGGGTGGGGATGGAGATTTCTCACTTCCCCTTGCTCTGTCTCTCCAGTGAGCCCATGCACCCTATAGCCAAAAAATAAAATAAATCTTTAAAAAGTATCTTTCTGCAATGAACAATTCACCCTGGACTACTAAAGCATTTACCACCTGTACTTTTCATTCCTCAGCAGATACTTCAAGAAATATAATACAACCACTACAACATGGACTTTCTATCAAAAGGTATGGGGACCAGCAGTTAGCGTAATGGCTATGGCACTGGACTCCCACGTAGCCGACCACGGTTCAAGTCCCAGACCCGGTGGCTTAAACTCACGCCGGCCGCATGTGCGTGCGTGTCCAAGTTCCCGAGAGGAGAATGGAGGAGAAGGGATTGCGGCGTGGCCAGCCCCTCTTGGGGGTGATTTCTTGCTTTCTGTCTCTATGTCTCTCTCTCTGTCTGTCTGGCGAGTGCACGCGCCCTATAGCAAAAACCTCTCCAAAACAACAACAACAAAAAAGGTACACAGTTAGTTTCTTTTCTACTAAACTTCATTCCCAATCTTAACCCATCAGAGAATCTTTAGATTCTGTTTACCTGGTTCTGTCACTTCAGATACACTCTTTTCTAATAATCCTGTTACAGACGACAAAACTAGGCATCTACCCCTCATGGCTGGAAGCTCAGAGTTGTCTGATCTCCACGAGTCCCTCTCCTGACTCGGGCTCCATGATGCCCTTGTCTGCGTCCAAAAAAGGACCCAACTTTACACCCCCTGAACTGTTGGCCACCAACAGATGGGGACAAAAGAGGATGGTGGCCAATGCACACCACTGACAAGTGGATAGAACTGCTTCTTCAATTACTCTCTATTTCTGATACATCCTGATTTTACTCTTGTTGCTTGAAGACAGGAGGCTACATAAGAAATACCTTCCTCATCACCTGCTAAACCCAAGGAACAAGGGAAGTGAGTTTACGCAAGAATCTAAAAAAAATCCTGTAGTCGACATTAAATATCTTTTACAAGCCAAAACCCTCTGCAGTCTTACTGATGGACTTCACTCCGTTCCCAAGAATAAACACGACCTTCGTTTAAACAAGACTGTGAGACTTCCCTTTCAAAGCCACCATTGTCTCCTTTCGTCGATTTTTAAGTCTGAAATAATGTTTAGCTTAAATTAAGGACAATCAACTTGTCATGTAACCACCACAGCCAGGTTCTTATCTATTCATAAGATCTTACTTAAGTCCATAAAGCCCTTTAACCCCAAATCTTCAACGAGTTTGAATCTTTTAAAAATCATATTTAAATTTATTGTTTCACACCAGGTCTAATGACACACAAGCTGCGGAGGCTGAAGTAGCATCACAGAAGTAAAAGCTCTTCCCTTTACAATTAGAGGTCATGTGCTCCGTCCACCTAGTCCTTGACTTCCAGCTGAAAGGCACAATGGTCTGCAGAAAGTGATAGGAGAACGCAGCCCACTCAGGCCATGCACAAGGAACCCCAGTTGGACAACAGCGGTCTTGCCGTCAGCTCTACGAAGACGTAGCCTGCGGTAACATGTATTTACTTCCTCCAACACACAGAAAGGGAACGAGCACTGAATTAGCTGAGTGGGCTGTGGCCGTAGTTTGACGGACTTCAGTCTGAGAACTCTGCCAGAGGTTCCACTCACTTGTTCAATCCTCTCAGAGAACAGAAAGTGTAACTCGAGCCTCTGCGACGTGGTTAGCGGCCTTTCCGTTTCTTCATTTTGCCTCCAGCCACTTTGTTCCTGACGCCAATAGCACCCTCTGTGTCATCGTTATCCCCAGCATCCTCTCGAGTGCGCTTCTTCTTCTCCCCGTGCTCCCTCAGCTCCTATGGGAAAGCCAAAAGGATGGGGCTGAAAATGAGTTCCTATCACAGGAGAGAATATTCTAGTCCCTCCGTTTATGACCAAATACTGAGGAACTCCCTGACACCTGACATTAGCAAAGGTATAAGACTCGAATCCAAACATACAAGAATGTCAACTTCATTAGTGATCAAAAAATGAAAATTAGGGGTCAGCAGGTGGCAGTGGTTGGGATACTGGACCCCCACATGGCCAATTATGGTTCTAGTCCTGGACCGAGTAGCTTGCTTTCTGACTTTCCCTTCCTCTCCCTCTCTGGTCAAATTAAAAAATAATTAACAGATAAAATAATTATTTTTAAAAAAATGAAAATTAAAATAAGCTATTTTCACATGACAGATAAACAGAGATGTAAGAGAATGGTTAATATCTAGTATTGGCCAAGGTGTGAGGAGATTCACATACACTGTTGCTGACACTGTAATCGGCTATAGCTTTTCTAGGGGGTAACCTAGCATTCTGTATGAATTCATATTTTAATCATGTATACTCCAACTTCTACACATGTATTCTAAGGAAGTAAGATGAACATGCAAAGTGCACATACTAGGGTGTTCAACACAGTACCAGTTAAAACAAAAACAATGGAATAAAGCATAAAGATCTATCAAGGTAAATCATGTCACTTAAGTGAAGGAATCCTTTGTGGCCATTAAGGGATAATCACATGGGGCCAGCAGGTGGCGTGGCGGTTAAGGCGCTGGACTCCCACATGGTTGACTACGTTTTAAGTCCCAGACTTGGCATACTGAAACTCATGCTAGGCACACGCACACACATCCCCAAATCTCGAGAATGAAGGAGAAGGGGGTGTGGCATGGCCATCCCCCCTGGGGGGTGATTTCTCAGTTTCTGTCTCTGTTTCTCCGTCTCTCCGGTATGTAGCAAAAATCTCTTTAAAAAAAAAAAAATGACCACATGAATTCTCTATTTGAAAACTGAAAAATGTTAAGTTGCATATAATTCAAGTCTAATTATGAGTAAATAAAAGTAAAATAGGTAAGTATTATATTATGTTAACCCCTTCTGTATTTTCTAAACTTTTTCCCCAATGCGCAAGTAACAATTATTTTTTTAGAGTTTTTGCTATAGGGTACATGAACTCACTAGGAGAGAGGCAGACAGTGAGAGGGAGAAGAGAAAGTGAGATATCACCCCCCCAGAGGGTACAGCCGTGCTGCAAACCCTTCTCCACTCTCCTCTCTAAATTTTGATCATGTACACGCCCAGTGTGTTTCTCAAGCCGGCAGATCCAGGTCTTGAACTGCTTAGTTGGCCATGTGGAGTCCAGCCACCTTACTTACTGCATCACCAGGCTGGTCGAGTAAGTAACACTTATAAACAAAACCACCAAACAAAAACTTCTACGTAGACCCAGTGGCACAGCAGTGGTGCAATGCTCTGCAATGCTGGAAGCCATATGGAAGATCAGAGTTCAGTTCCTGGGTCAACTTGTACATGACAGAGCACATGTGTGTGCCTATAATCTGGCTGCTGGGAAAGGCTGGGGAATGACAGTGGCATGAGACTCTGCTGAGAGAGCTTCTCTCTCTGTCTCCCTCATGAAATAAATAAAAACTTTAACATTCCACGCAGACAGAAAAAAACTTTGTACCTCCAAACTCAGAAAGCAACCCATGGGCAAAGTTATGCCATTCCTCAGACTAGAATTTTAGAAAGCAGAGATCTGCCAAGGGCTCTCTAGAATCTTCTCATCACCACTGCTGTTGTTACTACTAGTAGTAACTGTGCAGTCTTTTATTAGCTTATCTGGAGCTCACAACAGTATTATTCTCAATTTACCGGGGAAGAACAGATCTTGAGAAATCAGGCCAAGTGCCCAAGCTCACTTAGCCCACAGCTGGAGCCTCTGACCTCAAGTTCAATGATTTTCTTGCCACATATGATACATGAACAGTGGCTGAGAATGAGGTCGCTTTGGTTAGGCTGTCTCAAAGTCCAAACCCTAATTCAACTATTTAGTAGTTTTGGTCTAAAGCAAATTACCCAATACCTCTACAACTAGTTTGCTCATCTTAAATGTGGAGTAATACCCAGCTCCTACAGTTTATTCTGAGGATTAACACAGTAAGAAGCATCTGGCATATAATTAAAATCCTTGGCACAGAAGCTGGTGAGGAAGTAAGCTGCATACCATTCGAGCAAATCTTTGAGCTTCAGTTACGCGCTCTGTCAGCATCATAACCTCGTCATCCTGTGTTGGAAAAACAGGCAGTTTCTTCCCAATTAAGTGTTCTATGCGCTGGAAGAGTTCCACATCATACCTGAGGAAGGAAAACTGGCAGGCTTTGGTTGGCTGATAATACAACTGTTCGCCACTTCCGAACTACATAATAAGACACAATACAACGAGCTACAGTCTGAAACAATATTGAACATATTATTCCTTTTCTAAATACTAGTTTAGTTAAATCTTTGTGCATGGCCCATTCAAAAGTCACCCAAACTACTCTTCACTCACAGAAAAGCCTTGGGTACATAAAAATCTGTTCCTTAGAGGGGGAAAAAATAATCAAGGGGCCAGACAGTGGCACAGCAGTGAAATTGAAAATGCTCAGAGAGGCTAACCCACATGGTAAGACTCTGGATTTTAGATTTGCATTCAGACACCTTTCTAGTGAATACACCAGGTTTACACAGGCCCATAATCTGGGGCTAGCTGAAACTGGGTGCATAGTGGCATCAAGATCCTGGGGACCAGCAGATGGTGTAATGGTGACGTCACTGGGCTCCCACATAGTCGACCACAGTTCAAGTCCCAGACCTGGCAGCTTAAAATTCATGCTGGGCGCTTGTGTGTGCATACCCAAGATCCCAAGAGAATGGAGGAGAAGGGATTACAGCGCAGTCATCTCCCATGGGGATGATGTCTCTCTGTCTCTCTCCAGCGAGTACACACACCCTATAGCAAAAATCTTTCTCAAAAAAAACAAAAACAAAAAAAACAAAAACAAAAAAACAAGACCCAGTTGGGGATGCTCTCTCTGTCTCTTGTTCATGCAAGAAATAAATAGTTTTTAAATCAGAAACAGTTATGTGATACTAGACCTTTTACATATATTATCTCTAATTTTCACCAAAATCCTACAAATACAAGATTTTCATGTATAAATATGAAAACCAGGCCGAGGGAGCTAAGTGATTAAGAGAGTAAACAGTAGCCCAAGACCCAGCTGGCCTGCCTCCGACGGCCTACTCCTTCCCCCCCTCGCTGTGACCCTGCAGGTGAGTCACTTACTGTGTAACAAAAGTAATGGCCTTTCCAGAGCGCCCAGCTCTCGCTGTTCGACCTACTCGGTGGATGTAATCCTGAAACAAACGGCAGAGAGATTCAGGTTCTATGGATTATAAGAAAAAACAATGTCTTGTGGCCAACTTTCAAAAGGAGACAGATTCGTGTTAGAACATGAAGAAAACAGTTCGGGCAATTTGTTGACACAAATCTCCTTTTTAAAAAAAACTTTTTTTTTTTTAAATTTGACCAGAGAGAGGGAAAGTGATAAAGTAAGCCACCAGGTCCGGGACTCAAGCCACACACATCAGCCTCGTGGGAGTTCAGTGCCATAACCACCATGCCACCTGCTGGTCCCACAAATCTACTTTTTTCATTCTCCTTGCAGCACAAAAATGATCTAATGCTTTTTTTATACAAAGGCCAATCTACAAAGTATATCTACATGGTTACAAGCAATGTGGAATACAGAAAAACAGTACTGAAGGTACTTGCCAATTATAGTTATTTGCAAATCACCTAACCTGTCTGAACCCTGGTTTTCTATTTATAAAACAGGAATAGAAATGCATGCCCAATCACAGTTACTGCAAAATTCAAATGAGGCAGCACTTTATCTCCAACAATTAATTACGAAACCAGGGGTTATTCTGTCACCCCCAGGGGACATTTGGTAATGTCTGGATACATTTGATAGTCCCAACTGCTAGAGCATGTGATTCTGTCATCTAGTGAGAAGAGGCCAGGGACACTGCTAAGCATCCTATCACATAAAAAATGACATTTGCAGCAAAGAATTTCCTGGCCCCAAATGTTAACAATATCAAGATTGAGAAACGCTAAGACACGCCAAGATGACAAGCTGTCATTTCTAAGGGATAGGGACTGAAACAGATCAGCATAGGCTACATCTGCCCCCTGACTGTGAGCAGGTACTCCTTGGCTACCATCGCTCGTATCTGTCATGTTACATACGTAGGTGAGCTCAAGATGATGAGCAAGAGGCAATCAAGTGCTCTTTAATTAACCAAGGACAAAAAGCTATGCTATAACTAAGAAAAGACAGAAAACACTCTGCTAAGAAACACACTCTAAAAATAGAGTCAAATCCCAGTGTGACTCACCTTGGAATGAGTAGGAATATCAAAGTTGACAACTACATCTACATGAGGTATGTCCAAACCTCGGCTTGCAACATCAGTTGCTAGAAGAATAGAACGAGCCTTTGCCTTAAACTTATTAAGCGATCCTAGGCGTTTGCTCTGAGAGAATGAAGAAGAAATAAGAATTTTAATCTTGGAAAATGAGATATACAAAATAGACACACTGAGTATAAGAGCCATGAAAAGAATTTTTAAATGATTTTCCTCCCTAAGTGCAGAATGGGACTTCACAGTCAAAACAGAAATATGGGAGCTACAAAAAATATGTAAGGCCTAGGTTAGAAAATAACAAGATGAAAGAGGGATTATTTAACATGACAGAAAGATCATCGCGGTCCAGACAGTCCAGACATGGAAGCACACACTAGCTGAAGCCACATGAGAAGCCCAGGTTTAATTCCCAGCCCATCCTAAAAGCCAACAGTCCTAGATACTTAGGAGACCGAGGCAGGAGGTTAATGGCATAGTGAGACCCTGTCTTTAAGAGAGAGAGGAAAAAAAAGATAACTGGGGAATCACGTATTAAAATGTCTTTAAACACATACTGGGTTTTTTTGGGGGGTGGGGGTGGGGGTTTTTGTTTGTTTGTTTTTGGAGAGGTTTTCACTATAAGGCACATGCGCTCGCCTGAAAGACAGAGAGACAGAGAGCAAGAAATCAACCCACCACCCCCACCACCACCCCCGCCGGGGGGATGGCCACACTTCAATCCCTTCTCCTCTATTCTCCCCTCAGGCTCTTGACCACACACACACACACATGCCTGGTGTGAATTTAAGCCACCAGGTCCAGGATTCAAATCACGGTTGACTACATGGGAGTCCAGCGATGTAGCCATTATGCCAATTGCTGGTCCCAAACACATACTATTAATAAAATGTCTCAGTGTTTTTAAAAACCAACAATCACTATTACCACTAGGACTAAATATATCAATTCAAAAGCAAGCAAACCTACCAATATTTTCATGTTCTAATAACTATGAAATATTCTAATTTTAGCCTCTGGCTATCCTGAAAGAAGAAAGCAAGCAGCCAAAGCAACTCTTCAAAGCTCACTAAATTAGAACAATTATGGAAACCGGCATTAACGCTGCAGGTCCTTAGTACTAAGCTACTGTTACAAGGTTTTATCTTCCTCACACCACCAGTTAGTTCACAGCTAATGCTGCCAAACAGTCCTTACCTGACTCATCTGTCCGTGGAGGGGGATGGCAGTGAATCCAAGATTTCGCAGTAGCAAAGCTGTTCTCTGAGTGTTGTTACAGGTGCTACAGAATATCATAAAGGAGTTTCCAGCCAATTCATTTAGAATGTAAACCAGGTAGGTGTCCTAAGATACAAACCCAAAACAATACGCATAACTGAACCTGGAAGACAGGGATGGAGACCAGGCACACCCATAAAGTAAAGATGAAGCCGATACTGCTTCTCAGTTATCCAGACCACAGTTGCCAGCTCTGCACTTCCTGACCAGCAGCTCTGGGGACCACGCACCTCCATACACCCCAAAGCTAAGTATAGGGAGATCTGTACTCAGCAACCAAAAGAGGCACTTCTGCCAAAGCACAAAACTAGGGTCTCCATCCGACATAGAAGCCACAAAACAAGTAGACAAAGGAAAAACTACCTTAAAGGATGGGGACAGGGAGACGTTCTATGACTACATCACAGCTTCATTATTGTGGCTTAGTACGTGGTGAATTCCTGGAATGGCCGACTTATCGGTGAGGAACACAAGCACAGCATGCTCTCCAGAGCAAACAGGAGAGACTCCACTCGGGGCTGCGGCTTTGAGCTAAACAAGGCTCGACACGTTTTGAGATGCTTTGGTGAGGACAGCGAGAGGCAGGAGTGGTCAAAGCAAACACTTTACCTTGAATTTAGAGGGAATAAAAAGATAATATTGCTGTAACTTCTCAACCGTTTGGTATTTGGAGGAAACAGCACATTTCACAGGGTTCTTCAGAGCTGCTCGCTGAAGTTTTTGTACCTGAAAGAAAGAAAACCTAAAATAGTATGCTGATTCCTAAATACTTGCTTTCTATTTTTACTTACTGTTGTGGTTGTTACTGTTTTATGTACCAATCCTTATAAAGAAGAAAAAAGGAATCTTAGTAAATTTCACCTTTTTGGTCATGGTAGCAGAGAAGAGAAAAGTTTTCCGATCTCGGGGAATCACTTTGAGGATCTTATCGACCTAAGGCACGAAGAGGAAAAGACACTGATGTAACATTAGACTGGACACCTGCACGTGTTTTAGGCAGTGAAGGAGGTCGAGACTCACAAACGAAATGCATCACTACATAGCAGGACTCAAAAATTCAATTCATTCAGCTAAAGCTTACCAAATAGTATCTGATACCCTACCAAATGCTATCAAAGAAAGAATGCCACTCAGAGAAAAGAAGGGTTTGAAGTTGTAGACTAGAACTAATCTAAAATTCAAGAATAAGTATTAATCAACTAAATAAGCTGTGATGAGTGAGTCATCAAAGAAAATAAAGATATTTCAAGGTGCATAAAAGAGGTTGAAATCAAATAAAATGAAAAGGAAAATCTGGGCTTGATTCTTCTCAACTCTGAAGTAAGGGTCAGACTATAAGAAAACAGGGTGCTGAGACAATGACAATGTGAAGAGCACCTGTCATCAAGGGGGAAAGTTCATGAAAACGGGCAGCAGGGCTGTGGCAGTTAGCTCATATTGATGTGTTATTCTACATAAAACAAGGAGACACTGAACCACATTTTGAAGCAGGGACCTTGAGATGCTCTAAGAGGAGGAAAGTAACCGAGAGTTCACCTCTGTCTCAAAATCCATATTCAATATTCGGTCTGCTTCATCCATGACCAAGTATTTGAGAGCTCTTAAGTTGAAACCTTTTGTATTTTCCAAGTGGTCAATCAGTCGACCAGGAGTTGCTACCAAGAAAGGTTGAGAAGAAGAAAACACATTTCAGAACAAAGACAGAAAGTAAGTTACATTATCTCCCTAGCCAAAGAAATTTTAAGAACATGATTACAAAAATCTGTTCCTCCAAGTCTTTCCACCCAACGTTAATAGATTTTATGAACTCCTCATTGCCAGGGTCTGTACCTTTGTCAATTACTCACCTATTACTATATGAGGTTTTTTTGCCAAGGCCAGAGACTGGGACATTGAATCAATCCCACCTACAATCACAGCTTCGGAGATAAAAAGAACATAGAAAACAGATCCTTAATTTTTTCCAAAGTCCACTTTAAAGCCAATGCTAGATTTCTACTTAAATGTGTTCTTCCCACACAATTACTACCTTTTCCAAAACTAGCGTACACCACCAACTCCTTAAGTCAAAAACTCAAGCCAAGACTGCTTTCTTCCACTCTCCTTTCACACTCGTTCTCTGTGATCATCTAGGATTCCTCTTCTCTAAGACACTTACCACTCTGCACTCCAATAGAGGAGCCCAGGGCCTCAAACTGCTCTGAGATCTGAAAGGCCAACTCTCGAGTCGGGGTGAGAACCAGGGCAAACAAACGCTGAGGCGTCTCCAGCAGCGCATTCAAGATGGGCAAGGCGAAGGCCCCGGTTTTCCCAGAGCCAGTTTCTGCTAGCCCAATGATATCGCGACCTAGAAGAAAAAGAAAACACCTAATACCAGAGGACCTCTCTCCGCCCTATTTCTACATTTCTACAATGACACAAGGCTAGACACAAAGCCGACACTGAATAAATATGGGATGAGCTGGGGAGAGAGGAAAGTTGAATAAGCAGAAAAGATGTGGTCTCCATCCTAGATAAGCTCAAAATCTGAAGCGAGATGGACAAATACACAAATACGTTGTAATGCGACAAGGCTTTAATACAGGTCCCTGTGTGGGGATGGAGGAGAGACTCTGAGAACACAGTGTGCGCAGGAAGGATGACAGGTGAAAGGTGGCTGCAACACAGAAGTGCTAGGGGTGGAAAGGGAGAAGAATGAGACCAGAAAGGAAATTCACAAGCCATGCTAAGGAATTGTGATGTTTTCCTGTAAAAGAAAGGAAAAATTTCGAGCAGGGAGGATCATAGTAAGTTTCACCCTCCAGGCCTGAAGGCATAAGGAGGAGCCAACAAGCTAATACACATGCCTTTTACACTGCTCCTTTGGAGAATGTCCTAAGTAACTCTTAAGAAGAGGTCCCTGGGCCAGCAGGTGGAATAGTGCTGGATTCCCACATGGTTGACTGCAGTTCATGTCCTGGACCCGGCATCTTGATACTCACACTGGGTGTGTGAATGTGTACCCAAAATAAAGAGAGACTAGAGGAGAAGGGACTGTATTGTGGCCATATCCCCTGCCCCCTATAGCAAAAATCTCTCAAAAAAAAAAAAAAAAAGAGGTCAGAAATTTGTTATTATCACCCCTCTAGCCCCCGGGGAGATGGGCTCCCACGACCGCCATCTGGAAGCTGGCTGCAGCTGAGGACCACTAAAGGGTGCCCAGAGAGAACGCTTCCTACTCAGTGGTGCCCCACAACAGCTACTGGGCTGCTCTGTAAGTGTGCAGCTGCTCAGAGGCAGATTTCTAGAACATAATCCTACACTACATAACCCCCCCCTTTTCCCTGGGGCAACCTGAACAAAACTCCTACTTCTCACTATCTAAAACGACTGAAATGCCCAGAACAGTGAAAATGAGAGCTCAGCTAGGACACTGGATGCAATTCAGGCCAGAAGTGGTGGCTTCAACTGAGGCAAGGCAGCGAGGGCAGGACGAGTGACTTGTAGAACAATTGAGAATGCAACACTTAGGTTTTCAGTAAGACAGTCTTAAAGCCGGAAAGTGGCACAGAAAAATACAGTCTGGTAAGAAAAATAATGACTCTGGTTTGGACGCAGGAGCCAAAGGATCCTGCAGTAAGTTCAGGGAGAAATATCTAGAAACCAGTCAAGGGACCAGTAGATGGCATAGCAGTTATGCTGCTGGAGTCCCGCACGGCCAACCACAGTTCCAATCTCGGACCCAGTGGCTTGAAACTCACACCAGGCCTGTGTGCATGCATGCCCAAAATCCTGAGAGGAGAACAAAGAAGGAATTATGGTGTGGCCATTCCCCCAGGAGAGTAATTTCTCCTTTTCGGTCTCTCTGTGTCTCCAGCAAGTACATGCACCTATAGCGAAAATCTTTAAAAGAAAGAAAGAGAGAGAGAGAGAGAAACCAGTCAGAGTACCTGTTTAGCACTCAGGAGAAAAATGTAGGCTTGAAATACAGACAGGGGCCACGAGCATCCTACTGGTGGTGCTTCCCACAGCAGACACGTAAAACTATAATCTGCAAGGATGGGACCAGCTGATGGCATAATGGTTACATCACTGGACTCCCATACAGTTGACCGTGGTTCAAGTCCCGAACTTGGTGGCTTAAAACTAATGCTAGGCGCATGTCCAAAATCCCAAGAGGAGAATGAAAAAGGGATTGCGGCATGGCCACCCCCTGGGGGGATGATTTTTTACTTTCTGTCTCTCTCTGTCTCTCCGGTGGCAACACGCACCCTACAGTGAAATATCTCTCTCTCTAAAAAAAAGGATATCTATTAGGTTCTCACAAATATATTTATGCCAAGGTCCCATGCGTGTAGATTCTGATTCAGTAGGTCTAGGTCAGAGCTCAGAAACCTCTGCTTTTTTATTTTTATTTTTTATTTTTTTAAGAGCTCCACAGATGATTCTGATGAACACTAGGTGAGACTCAACCATACAGACACACTGAACACCTCAGGATTGAATCAGAAATCTTAGGTCGTGTGTTAGAGTAAGAAAAAAGCAAAACAGAATCACTATTATAAGGCAAATGGGGAATAAAAAAGGAGAAAAAAATTAGAAAGAAAGGCTAGAAACATTATCTTGAAATTAAGTAGGAAGAGAGCATCAAAAAGAAAGTGATTAGTACTACTCAATGTCACCAATCTAGTAGAATACACCTTCACTATCCATCTCTTACAGATTAGTCTCTTAAACCAGGATCTGCCATGCCAGATCAGACAACAGTGTATTCTAGTACATTCTATCCATTCATTTTCTATTTGTTTTGTTTTTTTTTTAAGAGGTTTTCGCTATAGGGCACGTGCGCTCGCCAGACAGACAGAGAGAGACATAGAGACAGAAAGCGAGAAATCACCCCCCATGGGGGATGGTCACGCCGCAATCCCTTCTCCTCCATTCTCCTCTCAGGATCTTAGACACTCACTCACACGCACCCGGCGTGAGTTCTAAGCCACCGGGTCCGGGATGCGAACCGCGGTCAACTACGTGGGAATCCAGCGACATAGCCATTACGCCAACTGCTGGTTCCCACTTTCTATTTGTTAACATCGTAGTTTTCCACTCAACAATATATGCGTAATGGGCTGGTCCCATAGCCTGGTGTTAAGGGAGCCAGAGTCTACATGGTTAAGTACAGTTTGAAATCTAGCCCAGTGCCTTGAAAAACACACCAGGCACATATACACACACCCCACATCCTAAGAGGATGGAGAAATGGAGATGGGACTGTGGCAGTGACCAGGCCCCATCAAGGGGTGCTTTCTCCTCTCCCTGCGTCTCCATCTCTCAAGCAAGCACACGCATCCTCTGGTTTATAAACAAAAATAAAAACAAAAAACAACAACAAAAATACACGTGTAGATGTGAAATGCAAGCTGAACTAGACACAGACCAATTCTATAAGGATCACAGAAGAAATGTACAATCCAGGGATAGTATTTCTCACTCATCTACTTATTTGAACGTTCCCCTTGGCTGCAGGATATTGAACAACGACTTGCAAGAGCATCTTCCTGAGAAATAAAGATGGGTGAAAACTAGTCATTTCCAACGCCTCTGATTCCCCGACTTCTCAGGGTGTCCGCCTCCCCTGCCTGTGCACCACAGCATGCCCCGGAGGAGCTAGGATCTCTCTTCCTTTTATGTCACAGGAAATCTTACATTTTCAGAAGAAAGGAGTACATAAGAAAGATTTAGGGACATAAAAAAGCTTGTAACACTCAATTTCTGAGGTGGTGGCAGTGAGCAAGCCACTGCTGAGAGCTGAGGCTTGCAGTGCTGTCAGCTTCTTTGTGATTCCCTCAGGGTAACCTGAGTTTGTGAAAGTGGTTAAGTTTTTCTTTATCATCTCTTTCTTCCTCTTAAAGCCTCCTAGCCTTTTCAGAGTTAATTCTGGTGCGGAACACACTAGAATACATAAGCTCCATGAGAGCACAATAAATTGTCATAGTCACCAGCCACATTGCCAGCACCCAGCATGAGCCCCCAGGCTGTGGCAGCTATTAATAAGCCATCTGAGATTGCCAGAGGATGGCTGAAGTGATCTCTGAAATGGAAATAAACTTAAAACATGAAACATGGGAAGGAAATCATCCTTATCAACTATCAAAAAGGGGCTGACTCCATGACACAGTGGCAATTCACAGCTCGAAAGAAGCTGGATTCCACAAGGCCGCCATGGTTAGAATCTCTAGCCTGGTCCACCTGACATACACGCCAGGTACACGCATGTATGCTCAGGATCTGAAGGGCAGAGGACTGGAGGAAGGGGATCGTGGTGTGACCAGACCCTGTGGAAGGTGCTCATCTCTTTCTTCCCCCATCTCACATGTGCACGCATACACACTATTAGCCAGCCACAGTAGCAAAGCAGTAATGAAACACTTTGTGATGATGGGGCCCTAAGAGTGGGTAGGGGTCAGCAGGTGGCACAGTGGTTAAGGTGCTGGACTCACACATGGTTGATCATGGTTCAAGTCCCAGACCCAGCGGCTTGAAAGTCATGCTGAGCACGTGTGCATGCAGACCCAATATTCCAGGAGAATGAAGAAGTAACCGAGGCACACGCACATGTTCATGCCTTCCCAAAACCCTAAAGGGAGAAGAGAGGAGAAGGGACCGCAGGGTGGCCATTTTCTCTTTCTATCTCTGTCTTTCTCTAGCAAGCATATACACCCTATAGCAAGCTTTAAAAAAAGAAAATCACAAGACTGTGATCTCTTCATGTAACACTCCATGTCACAGGGAATGTGACACAGGGTCATAGGATGTGTGCGTTCACCAGAGAGGAGAGAGACAAAAAGATACAAAGGGAGGGAAAGTAAGAAATCACCCCCCAGGGGAGATGGCCATACCACAATCCCTTCCCCATTTTCCTCTCAGGATTTTAACCATGCATGCACACATTCCCAGAGTGAATTTTTAAGCCGCCAGGTCCAAGACTCAAACCATGGTCGACCATGTGGGAACCCAGCACCAAAACTACCACATCACCTGGAGGCCCCACAGACACAGGGTTTTGAGCTACCAGAATCAATATTCAAAATGCAGCTCTTGCAATAATTACTTATGGGACTCCAGCCAAGGGACTTAATCTTCTAAGCCTCAATTTCCTCACCAATAAAACAACCAGTCCTGCCTTTCAGGATTGTTATAAGGTTTAAGAACAATGAATGTCCTAGGGCTGTGCAACTGCAGAAACTCAGACATAATTAGTCCCAAATTAAACTTTAAAAGTTAACTGATTTTTTTTTAATTTCTTTCTTCCAAGAGTCAGAGAGACAGCAAGAACAGGATCTCAACACCAGGATTCACCCCCAGCCTCAGCCAGCCCCAGACAATGGCACACGCATGCCTCGCATACTCAAGATTTTCAGACGTGAACCCCGAATCAAGACATTTTCCACGACGGTCATTTGAATCATGTTATTAATTCTCCTCTGCAAGAAATTCAAACTTCTGGTTAAAAACACTGGAATAATGGGGACCAGCAGTTAGCATAATGGCTATGACGCTGGACTCCCATGTAGTAGACCACAGTTCGAGTCACAGACCCGGCGGCTTAAACTCACGCCGGGTGCGTGTGCGTGCATGCCGAAGATCCCAAGAGGAGAATGGAGAAGGGATTGCGGCGTGGCCATCCCCCCTGGAGGGTGATTTCTCACTTTCTGTCTCTCTCTGTTTCTCTCTTTCTGGTGAGCGCACGTGCCCCATAGCAAAAACCGCTCAAAAAACAAACAAACAAACAAACAAAAAACACTGGAATAATTTTAGAATTATTACACCTAATTTTTTTTAATTGCCAGAGGGCATGTGTACTTTCCATAGATTGACAGAGGCAGGGATAGGGATAGAGAGGAAGCACAACCTCAATGGCGTAGAGCCATACCACGGTCCCTTCTCCTCTATTTCTCTAGCACATCGGCATTTCGGTCATGCTTGCACACACTCCCAGTGCATTCTTCAAGTCACCGGGCTCGGGATTTGAACCACAGTCACCCATGTGGGATCTGGCTCACTTAACTACTATACTACAAGGCTAGCCCACCACCAGCTAATTTTGGTTCCTTCTTTCCACCTATGCTGAAGGGCAATCTGGGAAAAGTCGAAATGCTCCAACACTCTTCTCACTATTGGAAAGCAACGCTGGGATTGCTGGCAGCTAGCAGCTCTTTCCCACCAATGGCCTTATCTGTCCTTGGCCCAACTTCTGCACACAAGTCAGTGTTTACTATGCCCTCCATGGTTGGACCACTTTCCTTCATCTAACCTCTGTGAAACCAAATCCCATGATTTCTAATCCTCTATAGAACCTTCCCATTCCAAGGGACCAGCAGTTGGCGCAATGGCTACGTCACTGGACTCCCATGTAGTCGAGTGCGGTTCGAGTCTCGGACCTGGGGGCTTAAACTCATGCCAGGAACGTGTGCGTGCATGCCCAAGATCCCGAGAGGAAAATGGAGGAGAAGGAATTGTGGCGTGACCATCCCCCCGGGGGGGTGATTACTCGCTTTTTGTCTCTCTGTCTCTCTCTGTCTGTCTGGCAAGTGCATGCGCCCTATAGCAAAAACCTCTTCAGAAAAAAAAGAAGAAAAAAAAAGAAATAAATGATTTGGGGTATTAATGAGATTGAGTTGATAAAATCAGAGGTGGGGATAGCTGGGGTGATAGCAGAGGGTACAGAGTTTCTGTTCAACAAGATGGGTAAGTTCTGAAGCTCTCTGGTACAGTGTGGTGACTATAGTTAATAACGTTTTGTATATTTGAAATCTGAGAGTAGATTTTAAGTGTTCTCACCATGGATAAGTATGTGAGGTAATGGATATGTTGGGGGGATGGCCACGCCACAATCTCTTCTCCTCCATTCTCCTCTCGGGATCTTGGGCACACACGCACAGCGCCCAGAATGAGTTTTAAGTCGCCGGGTCCAGGACACGAACCATGGTCGATTACATGGGAGTCCAGTGACATAGCCATTAACGCTAACTGCTGGTCCCAAAATCATTTATTTATAACTGAACTCATCTTTCCTGAAATCTTTTCTGCCTCCCTCAACCCCCACTCTTTTAAACGGTCTTTATTATAGGGTATGCACACTCACCAAAGAGACAATGAGAGAGAAAGTGAGAAATCACTCCCCCCAAGGGGGATGCCCATTCCACAACCCCTTCTCCCTCCATTCTCCTCCTGGTATTTTGGGCCAATACGCATGCACACCCAGTGTGAGCTTTAAGCTGCCAGGTCCAGGACTCAAACTGTGGTTGGCCATGAAGCACCTGTACTCCTCATTAGAGGGTAATCTATCAGAGAGGACAGCACCTTTAACTCCCATCACTTTTTTTTTTTTAAGAGGTTTTTGCTATAGGGCGCGTGTGCTTGCCAGACAGACAGAGAGAGACATAGAGACAGAAAGCGAGAAATCACCCCCAGGAGGGATGGTCACGCCGCAATCCCTTCTCCTCCATTCTCCTCTCAGGATCTTGGGAACGCACGCACAAGCGCCCAGACTGAGTTCTAAGCCACCGGGTCTGGGACACGAACCGCGGTCAACTACATGGGAGTCCAGCGACATAGCCATTATGCTAACTGCTGGTCCCCCCACCCCCGTCACTTTCTATAGCAAGAGTATACAAATAACATGTCCTTAATTCACACCCTGGAAATTTTGCAGTAATCTTGAATTTCCCCAGCCCTTGCATTCCACTTGCGTGACTGGTGGTGCTTACTCTTTGCTATTGTTTTCTCTTTCTCATTATCACTGCCCATTATTTACCACGAAGACTTCATAATTGTTTTCTAGCCTCTAGACTCTCATTTCTGATCAAATTTACACAGCTATGAGATTAATCTTCTATGAATATAACTCTAAGGATTTCATCCTCCCGCTAAAAAATAATCTGTAAAGATGCTTCGTTGCCTTGAGAACAAACAACAAGTTCTTTCAGCAAGAATTCAAGTCCTTAATCTGGCCCCAATTACCTTACTAAGCGTTCTCACCACTCTACGGTAAGAAGTTGCAAATCTCCATACATGGCCATGTTTTCCAACCTCTTTAACTTTTTTCCATGCTTTTTTCTAGGCCTAGAATGTTACCCTCCTCCTCCATCATATCTGAATGTCTAAAGCCTTCAAAATTCAGTCTCCAAGGTCAGCTCAAATCTCTTATCAATCTCCTCAGCCAAAAAAAGTAAAATGAAATAAATCTTTTCTAATCCATTCCAATTAGAAGTAATTTCATCTACTTCCTCAGTGTATTTTGAATGTAACTTTCTTTGGGCCCTGTACTCCTCATTAGAGGGTAATCTATCAGAGAGGACAGCCTCTTACCCACTGGAGCCTGTCTCCTAACCCCTAGTGCCTACCACTTCCATCAAATACTCTATTTATGGAAGGAGAAGATGGGATTATGCAGAATCAATCTAATCCCTTTTCTATATGAGTTCTTCGAATCGTTAAGATCAATAATTGCATTTAACACTCTCATCCTGCTCTTCTCTAGACCAAGAGTGCTCAGTTTCTCTATTTCTGACCATTCTTAATACTAAACCATACCCACCGCCCCTCACTTACTTTCTGAAATCTGTTGTCTTCACATCTAATCAATATGGCATTCTTAGGCATGTTCTAATCACTGCAAAGCACTGTTTTCTCTCTAAAGCTAATCCAGGAATTCTTAATCAAGGATTCATGGGGCAGGAATTTGGGGTATAGGGGAAGAGAGTCTTGAATTCTCTGAAATTATATGCAAAATTTCATGTGTATACATATTTGCATGTTTTTTATGAGGAAATCTTTAAGTTTATTATTACTTTTTTCCCCCATGAGTGAGAGGGACAGGAAGGCAGAGACAAAACCCTCAACAGGGTCCTGATATCATAATCCACCCCAGCTTCAGCTAGCCCTGGATCAAGGCCACATGCATGCCGAGCATGTTCCGGGAGGCCTCTGGACAGGAACACAGAATCTCTGCACATGGTTCGGACTTGCAGAGTGCAGCATTTTACTACTCTGCTCCCATCCAGGCCCGGAAAGAACTTCAGTTAACTAGTGAATTTCCGTTAACTAATGCTTCTGGGTCTCTTTACCACGAACCCTTAATCCTATAAAGTGAGCATTTTAGGAAACTAAGAGTAGGACTTTATTTCTATCCAATTAGAGCTCACTCACTAGTCATCAAACAGCACCTGAACCATTCTTCTAAAAATCTGGCAAACATGTCTCACAGCAAGAACTCTCAACTCCCCTAGAAACAAATGTATGTTCCAGGCATGCTTAAGCCTAATGATTCTATTTTCTAACAAGTTTCTTTTTTCTTTTTTCTTTTTTTTGGGTGGGGGGGAGAGATTTTTGCTATAGGGCGCGTGCGCTCGCCAGACGGACAGAGAGAGACATAGAGACAGAAAGCGAGAAATCACCCCACAGGGGGGATGGTCACGCCGCAATCCCTTCTCCTCCATTCTCCTCTCGGGATCTTGGGCATACACGCACACGAGCCCGGCGTGAGTTTTAAGCCACCAGGTCTGGGATGCGAACCGCAGTCGACTACGTGGGAGTCCAGCGACATAGCCATTACGCTAACTGCTGGTTCCCTAACAAGTTTCTTGTCAGTATACTTTAATCCAGTGCCTCCCTAAAGTCGGCACAATGGCAAGGAGCAAAAGTCTTCAACTATCAAGACAGAAAATAAGCTTAGTAAAACTGGAGAATAACTGATGTTCTCCAAAGCCACTTAAGACCAAACATATTATCTTTTTCTTTTTAGAGAGAGAGATTTTTGCTATAGGGCTCATGTGCTTGCTGAAGACAGACAGAGACAGAAAGCGAGAAATCATCCCCCAGAGTGGATGGCCACACCACAATCCCTTCTCCTCCATTCTTCTCTTGAGATTCTGGGCACACACGCACACGTGCCCAGTGTGAGTTTTAAATCACTAGGTCCAGGACTCGAACTTGGTCAGCTAGGTGAGAGTCCAGCGATGTAACCAGTCACTATCTGCTGATCCCCAAATATTTTACCTTTAGAGATCATATCTTTATTTCAATTGAAGTATGCAAGCAATAGCTCTAAAAAACGGTTAAGTACTGTACTCAAATGAGCAGAACTTAAATATTGAATCAGCACCAGACCACATATTTCAATTTACCTTGTAAGGCTAAAGGAATAGCTTCAATCTGGATCTTGGTGGGCTTTGTCCATCCCAACTGGTCACAAGCTTCACACAATACATCTGTCACGCCCTTAGGATGCGGAAAAACATACCTTAGCAAAAAACAGTACTCTTCATCTCCCACAAACATTTTTAAATGACTTTGGCATAGCTATACTGTTAGTGACACCTGAACTTCAAAAAGTTCATGGGAAAATAAAATTAAAGTGCAAGTTTACTTTGATGGGGAAAGAAAACTGAGATCCACGCAGGTTTTTTTTTTTTCATAATAGCCATCTTCCAGGGACGTTTTGAAGCCCACTCATATACAGACCTTGCACTCGATTTTAAAAAGCATTTATTGTGCACCTCTGCGCTGTCCTTTAACTGTACTATAAGACAGTAGTTCAAGACTTTACACTTCCTACTCGCCAGAGACAAGGCCAAGTGTTTCACACGCATTAACATTTATTGTCGCAACAATTCCACCACGTACATATTTATTACTATGCCCGATTCACAGCTGTGGAAAAAGTCAGGCACATAGTGGTAACAGCTCGCCTCAAGTCACTAGGTCGGGATAAAAACCTAGTTGTTTCACCTGATGGTAGATTTCAGTTATAAAAACACCGATTCCTGGGCAGATAACAAACGTCGCCACCCTTAGGTGAAGAAAGGGGCAAATAGGCGCTCTCGGGGCCGGCACCAACCTCAGAGCCCACGGAGCGCGGCCGGAACAGAGCTTCGGAAATTCTGGAGAAAACCTAAGCCAGGCCCCGAGTTGCTTCGGCACATCACCGCCAAGAACCTGCCTGAACCTACAGCGAGGAGGACAAAAAGGGGCCAGCGACCCTCGCTCTCACCAGGTCTTTAAATGTTTTAGTTTCCTCTTCCTCTCCTGCTGGCTGCGAGACTTCGGTCTGAGAATCGTGCTCCTCCGGCGCCGCCATCTTCGCTGAAGGCTCCGGAAGTGGCTCAGCACCGCGCGGGATGCTGGGAAATGTAGTTTCAGTTCTCCTTCAGAAAGCGATTCTGGGCGCCCCCTGCAGGCTTAGTAGGGGATTGCCCCGACGGCCAGCGGGTGAGGCCTAGCGGAAAGGTGGCGAAAATTTACCAAGAGATTGCATTAGTAAGAGTGAGGACTTGCGGATTGAGCCGGCGGTTGAGAGGGCAGAGGCGGCCAGGGACTAGCGTCTCAGGTGGCCCCGAAGGTCCCCTTTAGAGAGTCTTCC